CTGTTTGGCCCTTATTATTGTTTCGATGTGCTTCTCTTCACTCAACTCAAATTTACATAATTGCAAGTAGATCAAGATTTACATGTATGCATTTGTATAAAAGTAATAAAAAGAGATTATGCGGGTTTTGGCAAGACTTCTAGATCTAGCTTTGGCCTAATCTAGCAGAAAGAAGCTCTTCGGCTGAGTGCGCGCGATATTTGATTGACCTTTTTGGGTCATAACCGCGTGAGTGACGCTACCCGATACCGGCCAATCAAAAGTGAGCGATACGATTATCATCAATGAGACGTCGTGAGTTATGGATATTAATAGAATCGATTTCAAAAAAAGATTATCCCCCCCCCTATTTCCCTTGATTTGAACTTTTTAAAACTTTATGGGAAAATTTGAAATTCTTGATTGTAGGCCTGTTTTAAGCAATTTAGAATGGTGCACATCATACTTCTGGTTTTTCCTAATTTCAACCCCCATCTACTTCCTGTTGCTGATTTCTCCTCAAATTTGAGTTCAATGTTGAATGTGTGCTTTACAGACATCCTGTTAAGAGCCCATGAACGCAATTAATGTAATGGGGGCCTAACTCTAACGGCCGCTTGTAACGAGTCTGATTGAACACAAAAATAATAATAGGCCACACCTACAGCAGGTGGCTAACCCGCCTCGGCGGGCCAAAATACGGCACAACCATCCTTGTAATACTTGTATTTTCGCTTGCTCGGTTGCTTTTTCGGAAGATTTTCCTAGTCGATAACTGACGCCTTGGGTTTCAATATAAAATACAGGGTGAAATCTAAAGAATGGAGTTGCTTTGTGTAAAAGTTGGGGCTTTCTTTATTCATGCTATTGTCAGTTTATGAGAACCCAGAAAATAACACGGAAGCATTTCTGTTTTTTTATTTGTAATGATCGAATACGAAACAGTGGGTCAAACGAGAAGTTCGACATTTTATTCGCTCCACATGACGTCACCGATTATTTCCCACGCTAGCGCCATATTGACTCCTGGTAATCTACACGGTAACGAATACACTTTTTTCACCTTTGTTGTCTTTAGTGCACTTCTACTTTGCTTTGTTGTTAGCTTAGAAAGATATTCAGATCATAAGTTCGTTTTGGCATCTTTGTCTCTTTTTTATTTCTTGTTTTCGTGTAAGTATCGGCGTGTGAAGTTCCTGTTGACAATGTAGCAATCAGGGTATCGATCAACCCTTCAGTGCCGTCGTCTGTTCACACGAGGTGAGATTATCAAATTGGAGGATTCGATACGTTCACTTTTGTTTACCTTTTTCACCTCGCAGCTCGACGGTCGAGAAGAAATGATTTATTATCTTCCACTCAATGATGAGTGATATAAACGGCAATGCATTACTAAATAGGCTTAAAAAGAAGACACATTTTAGAAGAGTTTTCTTCCCCCATCATGTCGTCTCGTCCTTCGTGGTCCGCCGGTTTTTCGCTAGCCTTCCTTCTCTAGAAATCAAACTCTTTACTTTTTTTACTTCACTTTGAACCGCTTCTCTACTCAACGAAAAAAATTCAGTTCAGTTTCCGAGCTGCCGCCAGTTCACCGCTCAAAAAAAGCAGTGCCTCAGACTGATGATGTCTTTTAATGGAAAGTCGGCGAAACAGTCTCCCAACATTATAAAAGAAGGCTAGAGAATCTATCTACTTTCAAAATCAGCCTCTCTGTGCAGACTGAAAGAAGACCCCACTCCCGTCCCCTCTTCAACCCATCCGACCTCTTTTGTTACTGGACCAATGATTAGATCTACTTAGGGGGGGGGGGCTCTTCTAGATCTAGAGGTTAATGTGTTCACCTCTCATTCAAAAGTCCCGGGTTCGAATCCGGGCAGCGAGGGAAAAATTTTCTCCTTTCACCTCCTTCCCTGTTCTCTGTCTCTAGTGCCAATGTTCTGTTTTTTGCTTTACTCTTTACATCTTCACTTTCTGCCCCCACCCCTTCACCTCCTTTGCCCCCTCCTCTGGGATCCTGACTCTTTCTGTGCAGTCTTTCTACTGCTACTCCTTGGCTCCTTCTACTGCTGTCTTTCAGCCACACCCCTGATCTGTAAAAGGAAGACCTATGATAACCTATCAGTTCCAGTGACGTAAAATAAAACACTTGCAAAAAAAAACTCCAACTTTTACTAGATCTAGATCTATGTAAGATTCTGCTTCACATCATAATTTGGTTGTTTTGGTTTTTTTCTTCTTTCTTTTCTGAGAAAAAAAAATAAAAGGAACCTGGGCATGTTTAGCTGATCAACCAAGTAGCGAAAACATGCGATCATTGTAGGGTCCATCGTGTCACAGTTCATTCACTCTCATGAATGCGATCACACCTCCGTTGTTAATGTCGGTAAACAATGATTGCCCCGGATGGGATCGCACCATGGTGTGAACTCGTCAACCCGTTGCTTTCCCTGATCGCATGAGCCGTCCGCCTGGTCTTACATCACACACCAGGTGGGGAGGGCCTACGAGCAAGCATCAGACTGCATTCTATCAAACTGTGAACTCGTGTACCCTTATATATATATAATATGTTTCCCCAACCATCACTCTCTTGTCTTTCAGTTTTGTGCTCGAACTGCCTAGACGGACTGGCGCCCTTTCTCGTGGACAGTCCGATCGCCTTTGCGTAATGGGGTCATCTGTTGGCAGTGAACCTGCCTTTCTTTTTTTTTTTTTATTTAATCGGTGTGGTCACACCAGAGATGGAAATCTTTTTGTTGGGGGGCATTGCCCGAAGCTAACTGGTGCTCATCTGACACAGTATTTTTTTAATAAAGGTTCCTC